CAGGCCAGTGTCCTCAGTTGGTTGGGTGTCATCTCATTCACTGACAGACAGATCTCTGGTTTAATTCCAGGTCAGTGAACATCCCCAAATAATTTCCCATTGTGGCGCGCAGGAGGCAGCCGATCTATGTTTGCCTCTCTCTTCAAGTCTTTCTCTCTCTCCCCCCAAAAAAGAATAAAATTTTCTAAAACATTTTTTTCAAAAAGAATAACCTCGGAATTTTCCAGACTTACAACTGTAAGCCTATTATTGCCCCACCTTGTGTATGAATTACAGGTGATTTATGTCACATATGATAGATTCACAGCTTTACCTCTAGGTCAGGGCTCACCAAATAGCACACATAAGAAAGGTGCACTTTGTTGGACATCAGTTCTCATTTCCAGGGGGAACAGCCTTGCCTCAGTGGCAGCAAGTGTTTTCAAGTAGGGAAGGTTATTGCCATTGGAATCAACAGGAATGTTAACTGGTTACAAAAGACACATTTGGGACTGATTACAGGATTATCCTTCCTCTAGCTTTGAGGTCTTGCCTGTAGAGCAACAACCTTGAGATGAACTCCCTAGGGCACTAGGGGAATCCACTAAATCATGAGATTATTGTCTCTGCTAATGACTTCAGTTATAGGAAATAGTGATGAAGGTCCTAAGAATGTCTTCAAAGATCAAACAGGCCATAAGTTACAAATAATTTAGACTTCAGCACAGAAGAGGCACTTTTCATCTACTTTAACTGCAGTGTCTGTTATGACTATAAAATCAGTGTCTCTATCCCAATACCTCAGAGTCTTACAACAAATGATACCAGCCTATGAGATGAAATCTCACACATCATGACACATGGCCTCTTTGGAGCACATGGAGAGTAGTTCACCTAAAAAATGCTGACACTTATGTAATACATACTGCGAATAGAGAATATAACTCATATTGTTCACAAGAGAATAAAGGCTGTCTGTTCAGGGTGAATGAGATACTGAACAGCACATGGGAACCACAAAGTCATGCACACTTTCTCTCAAGGCCTTGGTTGGCAATACAAAATCAGCCAATGTTGAACAAAGAGTGATTTTCTACCATCAAGCTGTGCCTTCCAAAGTACAGAAAGTTCGGGACCCCACTATATCTGTTCACCTGTCCATGATGACAGATCATAACTTTTCTTTCAATCATCCCAGGGAGAGAAAAGAACCAAGAAAATTAAAGTACAAAAGAAAAAACACCCTTACATAAATATAAATCAGAGCAGAAGACAGAGGAGGTTTGCAGGTTGATGAATGTGAACCTGAAACACTTTATCATGGCCTAATGTGAGACCCACAATGTCCTTGAAAAAGGTAGCACTTCTTAGCAGAAGAAGTGGGCTCTGGGCAAAAGCAGAGTCAGGTCAATTCTCTAGTCAGAAATAAAGGAATGAAGATTTATACATGAGCTTAGAATATTCATAATTTTCTGAAGCACAACCCCAGAGTATGCAGGGGTTGTGACAGATGCACCCTCTTCAGGTGACCCAGGTGGTAGGAGTGAAAAAGGTTCCACACAAATACTAGCAGTGACATCAATCAGGTTGTAGGCCTGAGTAGGTTAGCAAGTGTGATGCAGTTTCTGAAATTATCACTTATACCTGAAACTTAGAAGTTATCTAGCAGAGTGTATGTTCTGATAAAGGGGTTTCCATTCCGGTAAATGCGGGTAAAAGCTTCTCCTCTGGTTGTGCTCTTCAGAGTGAGGGAGTAAAACATTCCCTGCACATTTAAAGCTTTTCATCAGTGTGAACTCTCGTGTGTTGAATGAGGGCATATTTGTAGCGAAAAGATTTTCCACATTCACTGCACCCATAAGGTTTTTCTCCAGTGTGAACTCTCTGGTGAATAAGGAGGTGACTGTTGTGCCTATAAGATTTTCCACATTCACTGCACTCATAAGGTTTTTCACCAGTGTGAACTCTGTGGTGTGGAATGAGGTGAGCCTTCTGTCTGAAAAACTTCCCACAGTCACTACACTCATAGGGTTTTTCTCCAGTGTGAACTCTCTGGTGGATAAGTAGGTAACTGTAGTGCCCAAAAGATTTCCCACATTCACTACACCCATAAGGTGTTCCTGTAGTGTGAACTGTGAGGTGCTGAATGAGATTAGAGCTCTGACGGAAGCACTTCCCACAGTCACTGCACTCATATGGTTTTTCTCCAGTGTGAACTCTGCTGTGTTGGATGAGATTAGAGCTTCTGCTGAAGGACTTCCCACAGTCACTGCACTCATGTGGCTTTTCTCCAGTGTGAACCCTGCTATGTTGGATGAGAGTAGAGTTACTGCTGAAGGACTTCCCACAGTCACTACATTGATAAGGCTTTTCTCCAGTGTGAACTCTCTTATGATTAAGAAGGTGACTGTTGCGCCTAAACGATTTCCCACATTCACTACACTCATAAGGTTTTTCTCCGGTGTGAATTCTGTGGTGTTTAGTGAGGGAAGATCTTACATGGAAGGTCTTCCCACATTCTGTACACTCATAAGGTTTTTCTCCAGTGTGAACTCTGCTATGTTCGATGAGAGTAGAGTTACTGCTGAAGGACTTCCCGCAGGCACTACATTGATAAGGCTTTTCTCCAGTATGAACTCTCTGGTGGATGAGGAGGTAACTCTTCCGCCTAAAAGATTTTCCACATTCACTACACTCGTAAGGTTTTTCTCCCGTGTGAAGTCTGCGGTGTTTAATGAACGTAGCACTTTCACTGAAGCACTTGCCACAGTCACTACATTGATGTGTCTTTTCTCCGGTATGAACTCCGCTATGTTGGATGAGAGTAGAGTTACTGCTGTAGGACTTCCCAAAGTCACTACACTCATATGGCATTTCTCCAGTGTGAATTCTCTTGTGCTTAACAAGGTGACTGTTGCTTCTAAATGATTTCCCACATTCACTACACTCATATGGTTTTTCTCCAGTGTGAATTCTCTGGTGGATATGGAGGTTACTATTGTTACTAAAAGATTTCCCACATTCACGGCACTCATAGGGTTTTTCTCCAGTGTGGACTCTGTGGTGTTTAGTGAGAGAAGACCTGTAATTGAACAGCTTCCCACAATCAGTACATTCATAGGACTTTTCTCCAGTGTGAACTCTCCTGTGTCTATTGAGGTTAAAGATACATTTGAAAACTTTCCCACATGTATTACACTTATATTTCCCTTCTCCAGAGCTGACGCCTCGATGTTGAACAAGATTCTGGTTATGGCTAGAAGCTTTGTCACATTCATCCCACTGGTGATGCCTTTTTCTATTGAGAAATTCCTGTGAAATCTCACTGCCACTGTGTGGCTCCTCATGGTCAAGAGGGGTCTGGTGCTGCACAAGCTCTGAGATGGTTGGGAAGTGTTCCCCAACCTCCCTACTGGTTGAAGGCAGCTCTGATAAGGAGACGCTGAAGCTGGTCAAAAACAAGGTCCTGTCCACAGCTTCTTTCCAGGGCTTCTCTCCACTGGCATTCCTCTGTTGCTGGGCAGGGTTTTCACTGAAACAGAAGTCTCTCACACATGTGTCACTGAAGAAGGCTTTCTGCTCAAAGTCTGCTGCTTGTGACTCAGTCAGGTGCAGAATATCTTTAAATACAGAGAAACATCTCCCACATAGATGGTTCCTCTGGGTTGCTGGAGCTGTCTTAGAAGCAGTAGCCCATGACTCCCCTTGAACAGATACACTCTGCTCAGAACACACCTCAAAATCATTCGTTTTATGCCAACAACCTGAAAACAGAAAAATGGTGATGAAATTAATGTCGACCGTGGTGACTGGGAGAAGTATCATTACAAAAGTGTATCACTCATAACACGTTTGTTTTATGCAATTGTCTGACAGTAAAATATCTGAAGGAAATATTGATAAGATGCTGCTGTGAAGTTCTGGGCCTCTGAAGATCACCATAAGGGGAGATCTCATACAAAATATGAAACAAAAGTAGCAACCACCACATGGAACAGAAGCTGAATAATCTGTTCATGTGTCTGCTAACAGTGTTCAACAGGGCTTGTCTGCTGGTGACCTGAACCAGCTGTGCAGAAGGTTGCCTATATCTTATTCCACATAAAATTCAAAAAATGTGAAGCTGTGTTGGGAATCTAGTGAAGCAAGTTGTGTACACCTTATTACACATACGCAAGTCAATATTTGAGAATACTACAGATAGAACAGGTGATGGAGAAAAGGCAAAAAGGTGAAGGTAGCCAGAAACAAGGAAGTCACAGATTAAAAGATAAATCAGGGAAGTGTCAAGCATGGGAATGAAAAGGTAGAAATATAGGCAGTAGCCAGGGGCAACAGAACCTAAACATATGAGCACTTTCCTGGTATGATTTAAATACCACCCTTATGTCATACCTCCCCCCAACTCAAGTGGGCCTGCCAACCCTTTAGATCATCCTGCATGTTCACACTGTGAGCAAACAGGGTTCTCCTTGCATCCTGTAGTGTACAAGCACATAGAACACAAATATTCTGAGTATAAGTAAAGGACAACAGAGATGACTAGCCAGGACTGGCCCAGAGCAAGACAGCATGCAATAGTATTCAGGGAACAGAATATTAAAAACAATGGAAGGAGGTCTTTATAAAGAACTGCCCAAGATTCATACAAGTGAAGACCATAACCAGGCAGTCAGTCAGTCACAAGGAGCCTGTAGCTGGAGGAATGGGACAGAAGTGGAAGCCATGGATGTGGTCATAGACAACCTCCCAGAGAAAGTGCAAGCTGGGCCCATGAAGCTATTTGCAACAATCCTGACCCCCAGACACTTCCTGCCCTATCTGAGGCTATGGGTATGAGGTATATTCATGAAGTCCTTTGTTCTTGGATCCCCACACACTCAGCACTCTCAGGCACAGCACATTTGACAGGATGATGGGATAAAATAGGAAAGCCTATTTCTGGGAGAGAGAAAGCTGTTTTGAGAATAAAGGAAGAGAGGGTCTCATCTCAGGACACTGGGACAATGTGAAGCTCTTACCTGCAGATGAGACAAGTGCAAACACTTCCAGCATCACCTCGCAGTACAGAAGTCTCTGAGCCTCATCAAGGAGCCCCCACTCCTCCTGGGAGAAGGCAATGGCCATGTCCTCAAAGTCCATATTCTGTGGTAATGGGGACAGTTCAGTCCATGATCAGCTTCTCTGATAGGATTTTATGTTCATCATCCTCCCCAAGATCCATATCCATCTGCTCCCTCCACTCCCCACATCAAAAAAGCACCTAGGACTTGGTCCCATCAAAGTCACTTTCTCATTACATTCATTCCTACTGATCTGTGTCTTCCCGCAACAATAGGGGTAGATGATAACATAGATACCTGTGCTCTGAGACTCACATGTAGGCCACACTGCCCCTTTTCAATACAGTGAGTGTCATGAACATAGGGAAGGGGGATGAGGAACCTTTGTAATAATATGAACAATAAAGATTGATTTAAAAAATAAATAAATAAATTCTGTTTTAAAAATCAAAAAAAAAAAAAAAAAAAAAAAAAAAGAACATAGGGAAGGGGGAGATGGTGTCCATAATAAAGGCATGAATGATTTGACACTGTTCTTGTCAGACATTACCCTTGTTGCCCTCCAGATTCTCATTTCAAGACCCCAATAATTATGGCAACACTCTTCAATCTTTTGAATCCAATCCCAGGGTGGTTAGGCCATCACTTTGCACTACCTGCTGCACATAATTCATTGAACCACTTCTTTCCCAGTGGAAAAACAACAAGGTAACACAAATATACCATGATGAATACAGTTTATTTCCTAATCATTTTCTTTTCCAAAATTCTAAATCACCACCTCCTAACCTTCTGCCTTCTCCAAGCCAGTAGAGATTTGAAAGCCCAGATGACAATGATGGATACTATCTCATTCCTATTGATCACTGAACAGCCCTCAACAAAAAAAGGTAGGTGTGCACGCAAGTTTCACCCAAGCTCTCAGACAAGAATGTACCACCGGGACACATCCTCTTTTCAGGAATTAACCTGAAATTCACCTTATCATATTATCACCTTATCATTCAGACATCAGCAGAAATAAACAACATTCATTCCCTCTTATTTAAATGTAAGAGTCCTATATGCATGAATGTACATGCCTTCTCCAAGAGCACATCACCCTTTCTCCACACCTCTCTCTCACCTGTACTCTCACACCCACTGCCCAATAGTCATCTCCTTGACTTCCTATTCATTACTCAATATGTGTGGTGTAGTGACTGCTTGGCAAATTCAAACAGCATTAAGTACTATACCAACTCTAAAGTCCACACTCATTGAGGCAGCCTTGAAGGCCTGCTATGAAGGTCTCCCTCCCTGATTGTGTTTTCCTTCAACCTCACCTATTGAGAACAACATCAAATCTCAGATGTCAAGACTCTACCTCAACTGGTATTGCACCTGATGTCTCTTCACCAGTCACAGCTTTCAGTACTCAAGTCCCATCACCTAAGGTCCTCTACCCCATGCCTAGTGAGTCACACAGATGACTATTTAAACCCCTAAGTAAATCAACTGGTCGGCAAACTCATTAGTCAACAGAGCCATATATCAACAGTACAATGATTGCAATTTCTTTTGAGAGCCAAAACCGACTTCTGCATATGGGCCACGAAGTTTCAATCGCACTGTACATGTGGGCCCACACGTGGTATTTTATGGAAGAGCCACTCTCAAGGAGTAGTTTGCCAACCACTGAACTAGGCTGACAACACACCAGCTAAATCTCACAACAGAATCCTGGTGTGTGTTTAATAAGTAAATATGCAACAGCTGCTGTCTCACCATGCTTGAATTGCTCTTTGGTCTCCAATTTAAAAAAAAAAAAAGAAGTTAAAGAAACTTTCATTCTGAACTGTCCCGGAGTTCCAGACGCTCAGGAACTGGTCCCTAAAATATTGCAAACCCTTACAGCAAAAAATAAAGGTTCTGCCGAAACCGGTTTGGCTTAGTGGATAGAGCGTTGGCTTGGGGACTGAAGGGTCCCGGGTTCGATTCCAGTAAAGGGCATATACCTTGGTTGCGGGCACATCCCCAGTAGGGGGTGTGCAAGAGGCAGCTGATCGATGACTCTCTCTCATCGATGTTTCTAACGGTCCTTCTATACCTCCAGTTGCCAAATTCAACACATCAAGTAATCCCTGATTCTTACATCTCTCTCAACCTCCAAATTAGAAAATCCTGGTGGCATAACAACTGATCCAGAATTCAACAGCTTATTTCACCACCACAGCCCTCATCATGGCCCAATTACCATCACACTCACCAAGACAATCATAGCAGTTTCAGTCCTAGTCTTTCTACTGCCTCCATCCCATCTATATTCATCATGCTGCAGAAACAGGGAGTCTAATAAGATCTGGGTCAGTCGCCTGCCTCCATTGCTCCAAATATCCCATTGCTCCCATAACCTGCAGAACAGACTCCCAAGTTATCACAAAGCTCCTCTAAATCTGACTACTGTCCCATTGTTTCCAGTTCCTCCTTTGGTAAGGAAATCGACACCTCGTTCCTGAATGAGCTCCGTTTTCACTCTGAGTCTTTGGACACACAGGACCCTATGCCTGGAAAAATCTCTCATATCCCATTCCACTGGTTGCCAAAAAGAGGGACCACTCACTCACATGATGCTACACCTGGACTCAGAATTCTGGGCTTGGTGTCTCATCAAGGTCCCCATGTAAAAAGTCTGAAATAGTGGCTGGACAGTCCTAGGGCACCCCTATCTCAGAAGCTACAAGACTTTGAGGCCCTAAAATAAGTTCCACAAATAGTCCCCCTAAGTGGTTCTACGTCTGCAGAAATCTGAGGAAAGAGGAAGGTCTGTTGAGTCTGGTCACCACCAGGTCAGGTGACCTTAAGATGCCTGCATTACCTCAAGACCTCTGTCCTCAGTGCACACCCTTTCTAGTGACCTTATCATTTACAGGACTTTTTTCTGTCCCTGAAATGCTATCCTCTCTTTTCCAGTCTTCTCATTCTTCCTCTGAGCAGTTGTTTTTGTTTTTTTTTTTGTTTTTGTTTTTTTATTGAGTTTTTACAGAGAGAAAGAGGAGAGTCAGAAATATCAATGAGAGAGAAACATTGACCAGCTGCCTCTTGCACATCCCCTACTGGGAATATGCCCGCAATCAAGGTACATGCCCTTGACTGGAATTGGACCTGGGTACAATCCGCAGGTCAACGCTCTATCCACTGAGCCAAACCGGTTTCGGGCCTCTGAGTAGTTTTGAGAAAAGGTTAGAATCCTACCTCAGACAATGTCTCTCTTGTTCACAATCACGGATGGTGACATTCCCTGAAAATGAAAGAAAAACTTCTCACACAAAATTTTCCCTCACCCACCAGAGGTTTTTTGCAGCAGATGTTTTGACCTGGCTTCTAAGAGGGGATTTGTTGATCCCACGAAGGGCTTTTCTCTGCACTGGACTCCTTGGAATTAAAACTAACAAATGCGCTCACATTTAAATCTCACCATTGCATTGTGACACATATTGACACAGATGGTACATTTTAGTGCTAAATCTATTTTTCTTTGCTCATAATGGGAAACAGGCCGCTCAAGCTCCCTTGACAGAATGGTTTCTGAATGAAATCTGCACTCACTCAAAGCAAACCTGTGCGTGAGGCAGCCGCGGGGCCTTGCACACATCCTTCTGAAATGACGGCCCCGGGTGAGCAAGGGCAGGGCTGTCTCCTCTGGGCTGAGGGCATGAAGGTGGAGGCTGAGGACTGGGAGGAGTTGAGGGGGAAGGAAACAGGAGAGAAGGCCTGCTTGATGAACACAGCTGACTTTGACAGTCAAAGACTGCATTTCCATTTCAGTTTCACAGAAAGGATGCTCAGGACCAGAGACCCTGATGCTTCCAGAGAAATAACACCGTGCACTCTTTCTAAAGCCCACTGGTCACCTGGGAAGATGTCCAGGACATATTGTTAAGCGAAAAAAGAAATGGAATTATATGGTCCCATGAGTTAAAAAAATCACACACACTCACACACACAGTGTCTGTACTTATATACATGCAACACTATGGTAGTCCCTCCTTATCTGCAGTTTTTGCTTTCTGTGGTTTAAGTTAACCATAGTCAGAAATGTTAAATGGAAAATTCCAGAAATAAACAATCCATGTTTTAAATTGCAAAAAAAGAAAACAACTTTCCCTCATCTTTCTTTTTGCCTTTACATATAACAAACACCTGCGTTTCCCGAATCCTCCCAGCTCAACCACACCACCACATTCTTCCTGGCTGGCATTGCCACCTGTCACATTCTTTCACAGTGTCACGCTGTCTGTTACCCACCAGAAACTCACTGTTCTGTAAACTAAGACCTGGGCTGCAGGACCTAACACTGGAAGGTACATGAGGTGCACTGAGTGGAACTCTGTAAGCAGAGGAGTCTGGAAAGCAAGGAGGCTTCAATCCCACCTGCTGTGACTCAATAACCCTGACACATCACTTAGAGCAGGGACACGGCCTCTGATGCCTCAGTGTCATTTTAAGGCAGAGCCTCTGACTGTGGTAACAGAAGAAAGAGGTCAAAATGACTCCCAGGAGAAAGGTGCTGGACGTCACACCTAACCCAATGGGCACCTGAGTAATGTGACTCTTCTGGGCTTTCATTGGCTAAACTCACCCATCATTGGGCCCATTGCCCTTTGGGTAAAATGTTTTTCCAGGCCTCCCAAGTGCCATTAGGATCCCACTCACTGACTGGCCATTGTGTATTGGTTTTGGGATGCTAAATGGAGCTGAGAAATGACAACTTGAGGTTTTGGTGACTGCTATACGCTCTTGTGGAGAGTTGCAGGCTCTTATTGCAACTGATCTCTTATTTGGAGACACTATTTCAGATTTCGTGAAATCCAGAATGCTCCCTGAGGTGGAAAGTATTATTTCTTTTTTTATTATTATTGATTTTTAAAAATATATATTTTATTGATTTTTTACAGAAAGGAAGGGAGAAGGATAGAGGGTTAGAAACATCAATGAGAAACATCCATCAGCTGCCTCCTGAGCCCAAAAGCAAGTTACATACCTTTGGCCAGAATCAAGCCTGGAACCCTTCAGTCTACAGGCTGATACTCTATCCAC